GAGCCCCCCTTTACCACCCCCTCCCCTTCTCCCCCAGAACCCCCTCCCCTGATCAAACCTCACAAAAGGGACAAAAATTTTGAGGCAGAACCCACGGAAATTGGGGAGCATGGGGCCCCGGGAGGGATTTTGGGGTTTTTACCTTAATTTTGGTGAAAAACTGCCGGAAGCAAGCGCGGGGATCCACCTTGAGGCTCTTGGCCAGCTCCAGGATGAACTGCATGACGATGGTCTGGTGGGCCACCTGCTCCATCAGCGCGTGTTTCTGGGGAAAAAGGGGTCAAAACCCCAAAATCTCCCAAATCCCCACGCCACAAAACCCCTTCTGGGTGGGGGAAGAGGGGATTGGGGTCAGGGAGCCCCTGCAGGGCTGGGCTGGCGTGCCAAGGGCTTTAGGGTGAGGCTGGGGTGGGTTTGGGGGGCTTTAGGAGCTTTTTGATCCCAAATTAATCCCAAATTCCCTGATTTTGGGGGTTCCTCGTCCCAGGAAAACCCTGGAGCTGCAGGAGAGGGGGCTGGGGGTGAACCCCTGTTCCAAAAAAAGGGGTGGGTGCCTTTCAAGGATGATTTTAAGGATCTGTCCCCACCTCTCCTGCTTTATAGCTTCCAAAATCCCTTTTTTTTGGCAGGAAAAACAGGATGAAATCCAAAGGGGAGAGAAGGAGGCAGCTGGAGCCTGGAAAAGGGGGATTTCACCCCAGTTTCAGCCCTGCCCTCACCTCCTCCACCTCCAGGTCGATGCACCAGATGACCAGGTAGTTGGCTGTCTCCTCGCACACCAGGTGAGGGTTGTCTGACAGGTACTTCTGGCTGTCGTCCCAGCGCCGCAGCATGCCTGAGCGGGCAACGGGACCCCTCCTCAGCCCCAAAATAAACCCTGAACCCCCCTGGAACAGAGCCTGAACCCCCCAAAACAAACCCTGAACCCCCCAAAACAAACCCTGAACCCCCCAAAACAAACCCTGAACCCCCCAAAACAAACCCTGAACCCCCCAAAACAAACCCTGAACCCCCCAAAACAAACCCTGAACCCCCCAAAACAAACCCTGAACCCCCCAAAACAAACCCTGAACCCCCCAAAACAAACCCTGAACCCCCCAAAACAAACCCTGAACCCCCCAAAACAAACCCTGAACCCCCCAAAACAAACCCTGAACCCCCAGGGACAGGCTGGGCTGAGGGCGAGCGCCCCACTCTGAAATTCAACTCGGCTCCCCCTAAACTCTGCTTCAGCAGGGGAAAAAACTGGGAAAAACCACCAAAAAATCCTGGATTTTCCAGCAAAGTGAGAGGATTCCGGGCTGCTCCCAGCACTGGGGGGGTTCCCAGGCTTGGGGAACCCCAAAAGCTGCTCCCAGAAAAGTTTGGAGAACCCCAAAAGCTGCTCCCAGCAGAGTTTGGAGAACCCCAAAAACTGCTCCCAGCACTGGGGGGGTTCCCAGCTTGGGGAACCCCAAAAGCTGCTCCCAGCAGAGTTTGGAGAACCCCAAAAACTGCTCCCAGCACTGGGGGGGTTCCCAGGCTTGGGGAACCCCAGAAGCTGCTCCCAGCACAGGGCTGGGGCTCCCCAGCTTGGGGAACCCCAGAAGCTGCTCCCTGAACCCCCCAAACCCTCACCAAAGTGTTTGATCTGCTTCTCGTATCTCTCCACGAAGGTTTTGTGCTTCTTCTCCTCAGAGTTTGGAGAACCCCAAAAGCTGCTCCCAGCACTGGGGGGCTCCCCAGCTTGGGGAACCCCAGAAGCTGCTCCCTGAACCCCCCAAACCCTCACCAAAGTGTTTGATCTGCTTCTCGTATCTCTCCACGAAGGTTTTGTGCTTCTTCTCCTTCTGCTCCTCCGTCTCCTCCTTCTCCTCAGGCTTCACGTTGAAAACGCTCTGGGGGCCCCAGGGAGCACAGGGGGTGATTCTGGGGGCCCCTCCCAGCTCTGGGGTCGGTGTTTTGGGGTCCCCCCCTCCCCAGAGCCCACCTTGCTGAAGCCGTCCTTGCTGAGCGTGTCCACGTTCCAGGGCATGCTCTTCTCCTTCTTCCTGAGCTCCTCCAGCTTGGCCTCCCAGCCCCTCTCCTCGGCGCGCAGCTGCTGCGCCTCGGCCTGCAGCCGCTGCAGCTCCTCGGCCTGCAGCCGCTGCAGCTCGGCGCGCGCGCGGAAGAGGCTGGCGGTGTCGATGTTGGGGTGAGTCTCGTCCTCGTCGTCCGAGACCTCGATGTGGTCCCACACGCTGTAATCCACCATGGCCGCGACCCTCCGCCGCCGCTTCCGCCCGCGCCTGACGCGCTTCCGCCCGCGCCTGACGCGCTTCCGGCGCCGCGCCCGCCCTCCGCCGAGCCTGCGCGCTGCACGCGCGGGAAGCCGCGCCCGGCTCAAAGATGGCGGCGGATTTAAAGAGACAGGAACGCCCTGGGTTTTTAAATCTAAAAAACGCGGTAAATGTCTTTAAATCTAAGAAACGCCGCGTTTTACCCGCGGGCTTAAGGGAGATAATCAAATGATAGAGCCTTTAAAGCTATTTTAATGGTTTGAATTGAAGGAAAAGCCTGGCTCTTCCATGATTTGAAGAGGTTTAATTGACTGGGAATCACTGCTTTGTGTTATTTTAGGGATTTAGGTGAGGGCAAATACACCTTTTTCCTTGTTTCACTGGTTAAATTGAGGAGGAATCTCTGTTTCCTGTCGTTTTTAAGGGTTTACATTGAAAGGAGCCTCTTTATGGGCTGTTTTAAGACTTCCACCAATAGGAGCCCTCTGTTTTAAGGGACTTTATGGGGGAAATGGTGTCAAAAAGGCCCAAAATTGGTGTTTCTTGAGGCAAAACCAGTAAAGGGAGGAGGAAGCCTCTTGGGGGGGTTAAATTGAGGGGGAATTCCATAAAAAAAATTAAATTGAGGCAGGATCCTACATTTAAAGGATTTAAAACGAGGGAAAGTCCACATTTTTCACCATTTTTATGTTTTATCTTGGGAGGAGACCCACTTTATCCATCATGTTAGGGCTCTAAACATAGAGGGAACCCCTTTTTCCATTTTTAAGGCTTAAATTGGGTGGCCAAAACCCTCTTCTCATAGTTTTAAATGGTTTAACTAGAGGGGTTTCCTTAATTATGAGGGGGAAAAGGGCGGGAAACGTGAGGGGAGAAAATGGCGGGAAACGTGAGGGGAGAAAATGGCGGAAATGTGAGGGGAGAAAATGGCGGAAATGTGAGGGGAAAAGATGAGAAATGTGAGGGGGAAAAGAGAGAGAAATATGAGGGGGAAAAGGTGAGAAATGTGAGGGGAAAAAGAGAAAAATGTGAGGGAAAAAAGAGACAGAAATGTGAGGGGAAAAGGGGGGAAATGTGAGGGGAGAAAATGGCGGGAAGCATGAGGAGAAAAGGGCAGAAATGTGAGAGGAAAAGGAGGAAATGTGAGGGGAAAAACGGCAGGAAACGTGAAGGGAAAATAGTGGGAAACATGAGGGGAAGAGGTGAAAAATGTGAGGGGAAAAAAGTGAGAAATGTGAGAGGAAAAAAGGGAGAAATGTGAGGGGGAAAAGGGGGAAATGTGAGAGGAAAAAGGTGGGAAATGTGAAGGGGAAAAGTGTGTGAAACATGAGGAGAAAAAGAGAGGAAAATGTGAGGGGGAAAAGGGGGGAAATGTGAGAGGAAAATGTGGGAAATGTGAGGGGGAAATAGTGGGAAACATGAGGGGGAAAAAGTGAGAAATGTGAGGGGGAAAAAGAGAAAGAAATGTGAGGGGAAAAGGTGGGAAACGTGAGGGGAAGAGGTGAAAAATGAGGGGAAAAAAGAGAGAAATGTGAGGGGGAAAAAGTGAGAAATGTGAGGGGGGAAAAGGGTGAGACACGTGAGGGGGAAATAGTGAAAACCATGAGGGAAAAAGACAAAACCAAAGTAATTTGCAGGGTGCTCGCCCCCACCCAGCCTGCCGCACCCCGTGATTTAAAACACCCAAAACAGCTCAGCCCCCCGATACCCCCCCATAAAGAATCTCCGGCGCCGACTCCTGATCCTTTATTAGAACATCTTATGGGGGCGACGCGCACAAAACCCCCCGAAAATCAGCTACAAAAATAGAAGTGCTAAAAACCCCCCGAAAGGCGCGGGGGGCGAGCTCCGAGGCGCGGGGTGCGAGACCTTGGGACCAGCCCAGAGCGAGGGGCTCGGGGGTCTGCGGGGACCCCCCTCAGCTGGGGGGGGCCCGGCCGTGCGGGGCGCGCGCCCGCCGCGCCGCGGTGGCCAGGCGCTGCTGGGCCAGGAAGGACAGGGCGCCGCCGCCGTCAGGAGCCGCCATGGCCGCGCCGGCCTCGTGCCGCTGCAGCGCCAGCCCCTGCGGGGACACGGGGCAGCACGGGGGTTGGGGCTCCGTGGGGGCTGCGGTTTGGGTGGGCTGGGGTAAAGCGAGGGGGTCGGGTCGGATTGTGCCCCCGCCCTCGGCCTGGGGGATCGGTGTCGTGTGCGGGGATCGTCCCCAAACCCCTGCCCTGCCTCTGTCAATCACTGTCAATGTGTCAATCACTGCAATCCCTGTCAATCACTGCAATCCCTGTCAATCTCCATCGACCACTCAGCATCCAACCCTTCCTTATCTAGAACTCTTTATATCCCCTCCTTTTACCTGTGTATTTCCCCTCCTGTGCTGGGATCATCCCCAAACCCCTGCCCTGCCCTCTGTCAATCACTGCAATCCCTGTCGATCACTGTCAATCCCATCAATCACTCAGCATCCCATCCTCTACATCTAGAAGTTTTCGTACCCCTCTTTCTACCTGTGTGATCCCTCTCCTGTGCGGGGATCGTCCCCAAATCCCTGCCCTGCCCTCTGTCAATCACTGCAATCCCTGTCAATCACTGCAATCCCTGTCAATCACTGTCAATCTTTAGCAGTTACTCAGCATCCCATCCTCTCCATCTAGAACTTTTTGTATCCCCTCCCTCTACCTGTGTATTCCCTCTCCTGTGCGGGGATCGTCCCCAAATCCCTGCCCTGCCCTCTGTCAATCACTGTCAAGCCCTGTCAGTCTCTGTCAATGTGTCAATCACTGCAATCCATGTCAATCACTGTCAATGTGTCAATCACTGCAATCTCTGTTAATCATTCAGCATCCCATCCTTTCTATCTGGAATTTTTTGTATTCCCTCCTTCTACCTGTGTGATCCCTCTCCAGTGCTGGGATCATCCCCAAATCCCTGCCCTGGCTCTCTGTCAGTCCTTGTCAATCCCTGTCAATCTCTGTCAATCACTCAGCATCCCATCCTTCCTATCTAGAACTTTTTGTATCCCTTTTACCCAAAAGGTTCACCCCTGACTGTGCCCCCTCCCTCTACCCGTGTGACCCCTCCCCACTGTCAATCTCTGTCAATCATTCAGCATCCCATCCTTCCTATCTAGAACTTTTTGTATCCCTTTTACCCAAAAGGTTCACCCCTGACTGTGCCCCCTCCCTCTACCCGTGTGACCCCTCCCCTGTGCAGGGATCATCCCCCAGCTCCCATTCCCGCCCCTCTCCCCACCCTCCGTGCCTCAGTTTCCCCTGCTCTGACCCCGGCGAGCCCCGGCTCTCTGTCAGTCGCTCACCATCCCACCCTCCCCATCCAGAACCTTCCCCGCAGACCGCGGGGTGGTGAGCGAGGGGCTCAGCCCGCCCCGGGGGTCCCGGGGGTCCCGGTCCCCGCGCTCACCATGTTGTACCAGGCCGTGACCAGCAGCCGCTCCTCGCGCTCCCGCTGCGCCCAGCTGCGCTCCCGGTCGCTCTGGGGGGTTTTGGGGGGCTCAGCCGGGCATGGAGACCCCCAGGACCCCCGCCCAGGGTTAACCCCTCACCTCCAGGTGCCGGATCAGCGCGTCCTTCTCCTGCAGCTGGCTGCGGAGCAGCCGCAGCACGGGGGCCAGGGGGGCAGGCCCGGGGGGGTCCCCAGGGGCTGAGGGGGGGTTCTGGGGGGCCGGCCTCGTGGAACCTCCAAATCCTGACCCCACGGCACGAGAAAAAAGGGAGGTTAGCAAAAAAACAGCCCCAAACCCCCCAGATCTGCACGGGGAAACTGAGGCACGGTTCATCTCCTGCCCCCTCCCTGCAGACACCACCCCCCAGACTCCCTATATCCACCCCGGGGTACCCCAAAATCCCCCCCCAGGACTCCCCACACCCTGACCCCTCCCCAGATTCCGATGCCCACTCCAGACCCCCTCGTACCAGCCTTGGAGAGCTTCAGCTCTTCCTCCTCCTCCGGGGGTCTCCTCTAGCAGCGCCAGCTGGGGGGAGTGGAGAGAGGTGAAATTGGAGCACTGAGACCCTCCCCAAAAAACCTGAGCCCCCAAAAAAACCTGAGCCCCCAAAAAAACCTGAGCCCCCACAAAAAAACCTGACCTCCCCAAGACACCGAGACCCTCCCCACGACACCGAGACCCTCCCCAAAAAACCTGACCTCCCCAAGGCACCGAGACCCTCCCCAAGACACCGAGACCCCCAAAAGGAACTGGGGACCCCCCCAAATCTCCCTGTCCCCCCCTCACCTCCTCCTGGGGTCTGCCCGGCGCCGTCTGAGGCTCCGCTGCCCCTGCGGCCTCCAGCCTGCGGGTGGGGGGCTCATCAGGGGCTGGGGGGCTCATCAGGGGCTGGGGGGGCCCACCAGGGACTGGGGGGGCCCTCAGGGGGCTGCTATCAGGGGCTGGGGGGCTCATCAGGGACTGGGGGGGCCCTCAGGGGTCTGCTGAGGACCCCCGCACCCCCCGCACCCCCACCTGTGCCGGAGCTGGTCCCGCTGCAGCCGCAGCCGCCGGTTCTCGCGCCGCAGCCGCGTCACCGTGTCCCTGGGGAGGGGGGGGACGGCGGGGTGCTCACGGGGGACCCCACAAAAACCTGGGGACCCCCTCCCCAATCCGCGTCACCTCCCCGGACCCACCTGAGCTCGGCGGGAAGGATCTCGGCCGCCAAATTGCGGGCAGGGGCCGCGCCCCCCTCCAGCGCCGCGTCTGGGGGGGGTGAAGGTGGAGTTTGGGCAGGGGGGCAGCAGGGGACACCCCGAAACTGTGCCAAGGCCACCCGGACCCCCCCAAAACCTGTGGGGGGTCTCTGGCGTGCACACCAGCGTTGTGCTGGGCAGGGGCGTGTCCCCAGCTGCCCAGGTGTTCTGTCACCTGCTGTGCTCACCCCCCCAGGTGTTCTGTGCCCCCCTGCTCACCTGCCCGGCTCTCACCTGCCCGGCCCAGGTGCCTCTGCAGCTCCTGTGCACAGCGCAGCTCCTCGTTGGCCTCGCGCAGCGCGTCCCGCTGCTCCTGCAGCCGCTGCGGCACGGGCAGGCGTGCAGGTGTGACACAGCGTGACACGGGTGTGCCAGGTGTGACACAGGTGTGACACAGCGGGACACAGGTGTGCCAGGTGTGACACAGGTGTGACACAGTGTGACACAGAGTGTGCCAGGTGTGACACAGGCGTGTCCCCAGATGTCCCAGGCGTGACCCAGGCATCCCAGGCGTGTCCCCACCTGTCCCCAGCCCTGTCCCCACCGTCCCCACCTCCTTCTCCCGGCTCAGCGCCTCGCATCTCTCCCGCAGCTGCCGCAGCTCCAGCTGCCACCGCTCCTCCCTGAGTGCCGCCTCCGCCTGCTGCCCGCTCAGCTCCGCCACCTGTGGGGCCAGCGTGAGGTGGGTGACACGGCCACCGGGGGTGACAGGGCCACCGCAGCCCCCGTGGCGCTCACCTGCCGCCGTGCCGCCTCCAGCTGCGCGCGGCCGGCCTGGGCGCGGCCCAGCTGCGCCTGCAGGGGACACGGGTGTGCCAGGTGTGACGCAGGTGTGACACAGGTGTGACACAGCAGGACACGGGTGTGCCAGGTGTGACACAGGCGTGTCCCCAGATGTTCCAAGGTGTCCCAGCTATCCCCAGATGTCCCAGGTGAGTCCCCACCTGTCCCCAGCCCTGTCCCCACCGTCCCCACCTCCTTCTCCCGGCTCAGCGCCTCGCATCTCTCCCGCAGCTGCCGCAGCTCCAGCTGCCACCGCTCCTCCCTGAGCGCCGCCTCCGCCTGCTGCCCGCTCAGCTCCGCCACCTGTGGGGCCAGCGCGAGGTGGGTGACACGGCCACCGGGGCCAGCAGTGCCACCGCAGCCCCCGTGCTGCTCACCTGCCGCCGTGCCGCCTCCAGCTGCGCGCGGCCGGCCTGGGCGCGGCCCAGCTGCGCCTGCAGGTGCGC